GCGGAGGCCTTATTGAGTCCATTTCTGCCGGGAGTCTACTCGACGACAATCTATGGCACGACGTGTTGATCTCGCGAAGAGGTCGCGACGTACTGTTCAGCGTTGACCGCGTGTTAGTCCGACATTTTCTCAAAAGTGATTACTTGCGCCTTAATCTCAATCACGACCTCTTCATCGGCGGTATTCCCATCAAAATCGACGACCCGTTGAACACCAGACAGAACTTCAGCGGTTGTATTGAGAATTTGACCTTCAATTCGACAAACATCGCGTATGAGATCCAAATGGACGACAGAAACTTCGTGTACGGAAAACTCGGGCAAATCCAGTACTCGTGTCTCGTAAGTGTCCATCACTTTTGTTTAGTCAACACTTGTTTTAATTGGTGTTTGAATCCCTATAACAGTTCCCACAAGTGGTTCCCATAACGTTCAATACGGGCGAGTCTTACATCAAAGTGGAGGGATTTATGGTTCCCTTTATGAACACGAGTTTCGACTTCAGGACATTCAATGAAGACGGACTTCTTCTGTACCACAAGTTCTCCAGCGCTGGCTTTGTTATGGTATGTCTTTAGTGGACAATATTGTGGTCATATATCTAACCATTTATTGATGTCGTTTGCGATGATTTGTTAGCTATTCCTAGAGAAGGGCAAAATCATAATCAAGTTTCAGGGCTCAAACACACCTGTTGTCCAATTAGAACCGTTTGACCCCAAACTGAACGATGGTTTATGGCATTCAGTGGTATTGGTTCTGCAAAAAGACAAAATCATTTTGTCCATCGATCACATCCCGAGCATTACTACCCGTTCTTTTGAGATGTTTACGGGACAGATGTATCTAATCGGCGGCGGTTATCACGGAATGACCGGTTTTATCGGTTGCATGCGTTGGATATACATTGAGGGCCGGTATGTGAATGTGGAGACACTGCCCGCCGACCGAGTGGTCAAACTACAAGACAGCGACATAACCATCAAAGCGTGTCAACTGATAGACCGCTGCCATCCGAACCCCTGCGAACACGGGGGCGTCTGTCGACAGGACAACATCGACTTCTACTGTGACTGCGCTCTAACCGGTTATTTGGGTGCCGTGTGTCACGTGGCCAGACATCCGCTGTCCTGCTCTGCCTATAAGATAGACAATCCTAAGTCGAGGAAAGCCGACGTCATGCTAGACGTGGACGGAAGCGGTCCGTTGGAGCCATTCTGGGCCACGTGTCTGTTCCCCACCGAAGACCAGTCGCAGATCATTATACATCACCGCAACGAAGAGGCCACTGAAGTACGCGGCTATCATTTGCCCG